AGGATGAAGTCTTAAGTTCCCTTTGCCCATGGAGGCTACTATGATTAATGGATTTGGAGACCCGGCACGGGTTGAGTAGAGGTTCATGGAAGATGGGAAAGGAATTTTACCGTTTTAGCTGCGGGAAATATTAGAGAGCCTAACTGATATATGGAGGCTGTCGTGCCCAAATGCAGACCGCAGATGATACATACCCATGATCGTACTCCCACTATTTAGCAATTGATGAATCTCTACATTTCAAAATCTAGGGAAATTTGCCAAAAGTATATTTCACGTATCTCATACTTCCGTGAAATATTTCTCTCTTCTTTTCAAACAAGAGTTTGAAGATCTCATATCTCCATTTTTTTCGTAAATATCTTGTTTTATTCATTATTTTGAATGTCTGAGTTGGATCCACTAGTAGCCTTTGAACCCAGTTATATCAGCCTAACGTGTTAAATGATATCGTAATAAAGAGATTTATTATTATGCAACAAGTCTTATCCTTGCCTTGACGAGCTAGACCAGTACCTTGTCAATATAGTGTAATCAACAATCATTATGACAAGAAAAGCCTGTAAAATGCCGGTATCGGCTCCATCTTTATAAATCGCAAGGCTATCATAGGCAGAATGTCACGAACAGAAATCAACCTTCGCCTTCTATATTGATTTTCCGCAAACTTTCGACTGTATAAACGGAGACCTTTGGCCTAGAGATTAAGTGAATCCCAGTTTAATGCACAGGGTCTATAAGGAGTTTAGGATTTTATTGCTTTCCCGTCGCATGTGTGGACGGGAATGAGTTTAGCCAACTTTGAGACCAGCTTAAAGACTTAGAGATCGTTGCAATGGCAAACTGTAGCATATTGCGGCTCTGTATGTGGTGTGGAGGTCAATAAATTCACACAACCTTTCCACTGGAGGCTTCTACCGCTGTGCGAACAAACGTGGCAGATTAATCAGTAAATTTCATACTTTTCTTCTTTTACTTTGGATATCTTTGCATCACTTAAGCTCTATCCGGGTGACTTAAATGAAAGAGCTACTTGTAATGAACGTTACAGGCCTTATAATCAAAGAAAGACACAAATTGCACAAGTCTTTAGGTTCGTGTTGTGAATCGAAGACTCGGCGTGAGAACGTCTTCTCCAACTTCTTGTCTTGCGTCTTGACAAACACTTGGCATTCACGGCAAGAACCTTCATGCTTGCCAATTCAGCAGGAGGGCTCTAGCCTAAGCACAGTTAAGCCCTGAAATATCAGTGGTACCGGGCGTACTGGGTATAATGTGATTCCCGTGTAAACGATGTGGAAGTTTACGATATACGTGTTTGTGGCTTTAGGTGTTGTGATAAATGTAGTGTAGTACATTGTGGGGGCGTTTCGCTGCTTTCTTTACACACAGATATACAACCATATAGCGAAGCTTGAAATTACAGCTGACTTGAAGTGGTGCGTGTAGATATGTGAAGTTTTTACAAAGGTCTATAATGATAACTCTCTGGCTTGAAACAGACTCGTAAGTACGTTTGATGATAGGTTAGCTAAAAGGTTTCTAGGTGTCTAGACAGCCATAATAATTACTTTTGGAGCAAAAACGTGTGTAAAATAAATATATAGTGGTTTATGGAATAGTTTCCTAATGTACAAGAGAAGGTGAAGGGCAGACAAAAAACATCCAAATGGCAGATAACTTAAGCCGTGCGACCATCATGAGTACGACAATTGACTGAATTGAAGACATTGGATATAGTCATCGTGCAATATTCGGCTATCGTGTTGCGAATAAGGCTTTCGCACTACAGCCTTGTGGGCGATATGGTTCTGTCACAGCCTGCTGCAAAATATTCTATGGCATCAAAATCTTACCACAACCTACGGCTAACGCGGTTTATGGTTTTATTATACAAAAAAAACCACGCACACGAAGGATATCGAGCCTCCGCTAGCTGCAGACACCGCCGGATAGATTTTCTCCGGCTACACGGAATTTTTCTGACAGCTACCGAGGTCTGATTACTAAGACCACCCGGGCAGATATCATACCTCGGTAAATCGGCAAGCAATCATCAGAACTCTGTAGCTAGAGGAAAATTATATTTCTTGAGAATTATTATAAAACAATATATATCAAATATTACTTTCCTTACTTTCCCCATGGATGTTTCTCTGATGCTTTATCTTATTATGAATCAATAGTGTTTCAAGAAAAGCGCTGTAGTTTGGTAAAGTTAAGAAGCCATGTTTAAAGTGAATGTTTATATCAATGGCCCACCAGTGTTTATCACACAATTTCAAAAGTTGCAGATTAGTTATAATGCTGGGGTGCGGACGTTAACAAATAGTGGTATACTTGAATAATAAAGAAGTTGAATTTGAAATAGCAATATGTAGTGTCATAGCTTTATATTATCATTTATAATAGAAGTAAAATTACAAGTGTGAGAGTTGACAACCGGTGTGCGTGGCTGCCTTGGGATAAGAGGAAAGTTTCAATATTGTCTGAGGGCAATGTTCGGATCGACTAAGGACAAATGTAGCGTATGGAAACTAATATAATACCATTCTATAATATATCACACAATACTCCAGGGGGTCTTTTCCAGCGCTACACACGGAGACGGCACGAGAGCTATGGCGTTAGACAGGACTGTCTGGGGGCGCGGAGCGATTCTAGGCGAAAACTCCACAGAAGTAAAATGCGTCACCAAGTGCGTTCGTCTTCTTCGAGCTGCTACATGACCGATAAGCACAAATAGCAATCAAATATTCTTTCTGTCCCGAAGAAAGTTGTGTGCTGCCAAAGGCATGCTATAAGTGCAATTTCAGGAGTGGCAAAACTGGGTTTTCAAAGTCAATTTCATTGTTATTCTTTTAATGTACTTAGTTGAATTAATCTTATCCCAGAGCATATTGATATCTGTGAGACAAAAATGACAGGTTGGTGACGAAATACGGTTGCCTGTTTTGTATAGTAGGATGGTGTCAAATACATGCAATGATGTTAAAATGTGCTAAAAATTACATTAAGCGTTATTATCAGACAGATTTCCTCATCCAGGATATTTTTCCGCCGTCAAATTGCATCGGATGCCTTTAAGAGTAGCTGGAATGTGGTGTTTCACTGGGCGGAGGCCTGGCAACCCCCCGTCTCGTATTAGCCACATGTTGATTTGCACCATTCCTCTTGCCTAGACCTGGCGGTCCAGTCTTGTATCAGCCTAACGGAAGAGTATGTCACCCCGGCGGAGCAGTAAAACCCCGGTAGTCGACGACCTCTCTAAGACTAGAAACTTTTAAAGCTTAAAAGCCCATTATGTCAACCATTTATGTACACTCTCCCTTAAGCACCTGTCTGGTAAATGTGTGTTAATGTAGAGAGGAAATAAGGGTCTTGAGGCGAGTCTGTTCATCAAAAGTTGCAGCAGACATTCATTGTGAAAGATGAAAGAAAATGAAAGAAACAGCATGCCATATGTCGTACGGCGCGGGCACATTCTTTGCGTAGGCCGCCGTGCGCTTTTCATGTCGTAGAATTTCAAGCAGACTGCGACTCGACAGGACAAACCACCGACAAGCTAACCAGGACAGCCTTTTTCAGTAACAAGACTTAATGTACGGCACATTTACGACAATGCCAAGGAGCTTGAAAGCTCTAAATTTTCGATCGTACGACGAATACAATTTGGCACTTACCATAAGACGTCGACAGACAAGTTCTTCCTTGAATAATTTCATCATGTTGGTGCATCTGAATATTATAATTTTCCCATAAAACACGAACAAATACATTAATCCACTTCCCAATAGCTTATATTATAACTATATTCTTATGAATCACCGATTTAGTTCTTAGCCTGCTCATAAATGGGTTGATTCAGCTCCCCGTCTACCATTTTTCATAATTAAGAACGTTTTTCTATGCTAATCTGCTTAGTAGGTGGCTTAGTCGTAGCGCTTTGCGAGTTTCAAATCAAATAACAACCTTGTCCAACCATATAACATCAACATGTCGCTCGTGTATGCCCTGAATTCATATTTGCCTACACCAATATTGCTGTCGTTGTATATACGTTATTCCACCATTGAATTTATTCCACATATTGTACGGATTTTGATCTCTATTGGTTTTATACAAGTCCATATGCTCTAGGCGTTTCCAGGTACACTGTCATTTTTCGTTTGCCTGACATCTGAATCTATATCAATTGTGGATCCATATTTAAATTTTCCGTTTGATCAACTGTCGCAACAAATCAGATATGTGCGGGAAGAACTTAATTGGCCCAGATGGTATGACAGTGATTATTCAGTAAGTCTTACTTTGTGGAGCTTAGTTTTTATTTCCTCTCCCCCTCTCTCTCCCGCTCTTTCTTTCTCTCTTCTCTCTCTCCCTCTATCCCCCTGTTTTTCTCTCTTTTCTCTCTCTCCTCAAAGTCAATAAGGTGTGCACGCACCAAACCATCCAAGTCAACATCTAATATCACTGCTAATAAAAGCACGATTCGCTTTACACAATACCCGCGGATGCACCCGGGCGGTCTTAAAGACATGTATCATGCTGCTCATTCCTATCCATCTAGGGGAAAGTTCTCGTCCCAAAGAAGGATTACTATCGTTTTAAGAGTGTCCTACACATTTTGATCGCGTTATAAAACGGTGCGTTAGACAGGTAAAAATTCACCACCGGTCCCGGCCATGCAATCATCCTCGCCTTTAGAAGGAGCGGATTCTGCATCCGTGCCAGATTGATGTGGTGACGTGTAGGCCGGGGATTACCTGCAGCTGAGTCCGGACTCCTGACGTTATAACTACAGGAGCCTGGAGGCGTGGCAAGCTCTGCGGCGGTAGATGACTTTGGAGTGCACGCACTGACTGTGTTCTATTTCGCGGTCCGCACCGCTGTATCGTGGCGAACTTTTTCTAGCTGGTTGCCGTTTCGAAGTTGACGCCATGATGAGAGACATCGGCGACATCCTTGGCGTGGCTGAAAACCAGAGCAGGTTTGGTAGCATGGATGAAAACGACACGGACTTCGACGATGACTTTGCCGATCCGACAAACAACGTCACCGGCAATGGACGCCTGCCTGGTCCGGTAACCGACGTCGTCTTGCCGGTATTTTACTCCATAATCTTTGTCGTGGGCCTGTTTGGTAATCTGGTGGTCATAACCGTCATACTGAAGTACCACAAGATGCGGAGCGTGGCTAACATGTACATTCTGAACCTAGCGATAGCCGACTTATGCTTGCTCTGCGTTCTGCCGTTTTTGACCACTAACGTGTTTTTGGGTTACTGGCCTTTCGGTGGCGTCATGTGCAAGGTAGTGGTAGGCGCCTCTAACTTGAACGGCTTTGCGTCTTTTCTCTTCCTAATGACGCTGAGTATCGACCGCTACCACGCCATGGTTCATCCGCTCAAGTCGAGAAAGTACCGGACGATCCGACGCTGCAAGTGGGCCTGCTTTGCCGTCTGGACCGGCGGCCTGCTCATGGATTTACCGTACATTATCTTCGCCAACACCGAAGAGCAGCAGCAGAAGCTTCAGTGCATCCTAGACTGGCCCAACCAATATCTTGATCAACTGGCGACGGTCTTTTCCTTCGTGATTGGGTTTGCGATCCCGGTGACCGTCATCATCGTGTGCTACTGGGCGATCCTGGTGTGTCTCCGCCGCAGCGACCAGCCGTGCCTGCGAGGGACAACGTCCTCCCAGACCCAGGCCTCCCGCCGCAGACTCACCGTCCTGGTCCTGGTCGTGGTCATCGTCTTCGTGGTCTGCTGGCTTCCGTACCATCTCTTCGCCATTTCACGGCTTCTCATCGACCCTGATGTCATCTTCTCCGACCCCAAGACGGCAAACATTGTCCAGAACGTGGCCCTGAGTTTCAACGTGCTTGCCTTCGCCAATAGTTGCGTCAATCCCATACTCTACAGTTTTCTGGGGAAGAACTTTCGCCAAAGCTTCAAGCAACTCTTCTGCTGTAATCGGCACGACGACGTAAACGCCCTGAGTACCAGGTAAAATTTAAAGACATCATTAAATGTCAGTTTTAATGAGCTTGGTGAGTTGTTCAAATGTTTTTGTTGTGGTATCTATCTTACTCTAGTTCCGATTTGTCCTCTTCCTTTGTCCTCTGCCTTTTCAGGTAACTGACCAGCTACATATCGCTTCTTAGTATGCCAATGCAAAAGGTTGAGGTATCAAGGAGGTTATGAAGGTTTTCTTGTTTGCCTGTGTTTCCATATTTACTTCTCCACGTCGAGGACACTGACAGGAAGTAAGGTCAAATGTTCCAATCGGTGAGTACCTAGCTTCGGCCACGTCTCTACTAAAGAGAAACCCCGATAAAAAAAGCCTAAAAACACGCTAAACCCTGACTGAAGCTAGGTCCTCATTTCCAACTGAGTTAAGTGCCTTTCCCATGGGACCTCTTGGTTCTTACACTTAATCGTTACGCCATATGGCCAAACATTACTGTTTATTGTTTCAGAGATACGCAAATCATGCCGCGTGATTATAGGGAGTGGGTAATTAATTTCTCAATTACAATGCAAGTCCAGCCCATACTTGGCGTAGGCGATCTCCTATTTAGCAGGTTTTTGTCCTCCATTCTGGGACAACCATTAGCGTCGAACACGAAATTCGGAGTCGTAGTGACGTTCCCTGCTGACGTTAAATAGACTGAAAATTTATTGCCTACTGATGCCTTCTCCTGGGGATTACTGTCCTATTTTTCATCATGATTGCTTCATCATCGTAACTTTCTTACCTTTTTCTGAAAGGATACAGATTTCATTATCGGACGATAGTACGTAGCCACATGGTTTAACTGTGCCGTTATTCACAATCACTCCGTCATATTAGATACGACGTAAGCGCGTAGGTTTGTACCCTTGACCCTTTTATCTAGGGGACGACCCTTCTCTACGATGATATTGCTTTCGTTGTCCGCGCGATTCCTCTAAAACTAAAAATCGAAGACTACACACCTACGTGAAGTAATGAGAGGTGTTGTTGTGATTTCCTTGCTGTTTCTTTGCATGTTCCACTGTCAGAACCTCCTAGCCTACAGAGAGCCCCTTTTGACCTCCATTTCGACCTTGCTCTCTAACGGCCTACGTACGAGGAGACCTCCCTGTCATTGTTCGGTGAAATTATTCCCCGGCCCCCCTTACTTCCTGTGGCTAATCAGCATTAATAACTACTGACGCACAAGCACAGAAGCAAACGCAGCGAAAGTGACCCCATCCCTCAACATGTAGGTAAAATTGCCCCCTCAAAATGATTGGTATTCTCCTGGGAGACTTTCCTGTCAGTCTGCGGTTACGTAATCCCCCCTCACTTCCTGTGACTCTACTGCATTTAAATAACTACTTATTCACAAGCAAACTTTCGTACACGTAGAAAAAAAGTGCTGCCTCAAAAGTTCGAAATTCTATGTGTGGGATATTTTCCTGTCAGTCTTTGGTATCATCATTCACTTTCTACAACTCTTCTACATTTGAATAATCACTGTCGCACAAGAAAAGAAACTAACACACATCCATACAAGTACAGGGAGGTACAAACTTGGTTCGCCTAAAATTGCACAAATTCACCGGGGACGATACAGACCACTTTAGCGGCGTCTGTATGTGCAGCGACTATCGGCCCTGCCGGTGCCATTAGGGTTCTCAGCCAAAACAAAGCACCGAGACCGTCTGTGCATTCACCCACGTCCACCTGAATGGCCGAGATACGAACCGCGGAGCCAGCCAAAGAGTCCTGCGGGACTCTAGCAGCTTCTATCCCGGCGGTTTTACCACGCGTTCCGCCTCAATGTAGTTTTGATCTTTCCAGGCTCTTTGACCCAAATATTTCCACCCGTAACAACGACAGCGAAGTTATTTTTGAACCCATTAGAAGAGGTCCTTGGGGATTCAAAGTAGACTGAAAGTTGCTACCCTAGCCTGGTGGTATTTGCTATCATAGTTTCAGAAGAAGCCGAAGTTTGGGCTCTTAAGGGGGCATTATGTAACATTTTTCCAACAAAAAATTAATATTTTGTTCTTCAATACTAGTGTCATTGTATTTTACTTTTTTTCCTTTTTAACAAAATTTGAATGGACGTTTTTGCAAAAGTCACTCAAAGTGAAATTCGCCATCAGAACTTTACCTTGATATAAGACAAATTGTCCATACACAAAAGATAGATGCCAAGGAATATCGCTTCATTATATCATTCATATCTTAGCCTAATCATTCGACTGTTGCGGCACGACAGACGATCCGACAACCAGTTTTCTCCGCCCTACTCGGTTTCCGTTCTTCCTAATGTTACACTGAGTGCCATGTCTGCCGATGTCCAATTATGTTTCTGAAAAATGTTTATCGCTTGAATAAGGTTTCCAATCTGTTAGAAGATTAGGTTAAGCTGTCCATACGATGTATTACCAGCCCATAAAATCCGGATGAGTGGTTGCCAAGAATGTTCAGGTTGGCTATCAATCAATAAGACAATCACCACGAGCAACGTTTAACATCATATCACTGGCGCTGAGCCATAGACCTCGGCACAGGAGAAACAAATATTCGGAGACCTCATACCATCTTGAAATATTGAGAGCGGTTGTATTTTTTGTGCAGAATGTGGTGTGGTCCTGTCCTTAGTGCTGAAGTTATGGATTTAATGTGTAGAATGTGGTGTGGTCCTGTCCTTAGTGCTGAAGTTATGGATTTAATGTGTAGAATGTGGTGTGGCCCTGTCCTTAGTGCTGAAGTTATGGATTTAATGTGTAGAATGTGGTGTGGTCCTGTCCTTAGTGCTGAAGTTATGGATTTAATGTGCAGAATGTGGTGTGGTCCTGTCCTTAGTGCTGAAGTTATGGATTTGATGTGCAGCATGTGTGAAGAAAAAATGTACTAGCCTCAGGGTTATGACTCGGTCGGAAAATGGAACCCGTAACCTCCCTCGTGCAGCACTCTATCAACTCGGTCATGTTTCAATCAAATCTCCGTTCATACCTGTCCAAAATGTAGGGCATTATGCATTGTGGTTGCTGAATATCTCGCTTTGCAACTACATGAACCGTTGGATTTACCAAGAAAAGTAAATTCCAGTATAGTCGGGGAATGTTTACTTTGTAAACACTACCGGAATTAATATAATGGTGGAAAATGGAATTACCAGATTTGACTTTTATCTACTACCATTGCGACGTCCGGTACTGTTTACGAAGTACATTATCTGACTTTAGTGGCATTTACTACAATTGTAGTTAGCCAACTTTTCGTGGAGTGTGATCCATCCGTGTGTGCAGCACTGTGAGTCAACTGTTATGACCACGATTTCATAAAAAGAAAACTTTTTTTTATTCGCACGTTCGTATCGGTTTTTGGGTTCCCATATAATCAAATCACCATAGCCTAATATAGTGGCGAAGAAATGACTTGTCACTGGTACCTCTATATCTGGTTCGATCTTGCAACAGCAATCTGGGATCGACCTGACGTAGTTATGAGACAACCCAGAGTGATGAGTCATGTCAAATATGTTGAGATTGATGAAGCCATTTCTGTGCGACAACTTCATGCGATATTCATCATCATTATCTATCGCCCTGTATCAGGCAGGACCAAGCGAGTACAGATTCCACATGGCCCTATTAAGCACTACGTTATCATATTCAATTCCAGTGTCAATTGTGAGGTCGTGTAGTGTAATGGCTCTGAGTGCTCGGCTCAAGACCAAGAGGTCCCGGGTTCGAATCCAACCATGCCACCGATCCTGTGCCCTTGGGAAATGCACTTAACACGACTTTCCTCACAAGGGAAAATGAGTGTAAGGGTGATAAAAAGTTGAATCTTCAGTTTGTTCGGAATATTGACTGTGACATACGATACTGACTGAACACGGCGTATGGATGAATCACGTAAACACTAAGGGGTCATAACTGCGTACTGCCTTACTGATAGACGGATGCTTTGTTTGAGGAATAAGCTAATAGAAATTATTTATCTACCTAATTACAACACAAATACGGTCCCAGATGCCCCAAAGATAACTTACACGTTGATATTTTGATTATTTAAAGATCTAGAATGAGCAAAGAGAAATTATTTCCCTACATATTACAATAAAATATAGTATCAATCGCTGGTATAATGGCTCAAAATCACATTTTAAAACTGAACAAAACATCTCAAAAACATCAGAGAAATCTCTTGCCAGCTGCCACGTATGTTGATAAACTGGTGCTTCGTTTGAATAATTTAGGAAAAAGTGAATAGAAATTATTTATCTACCAATTAAAGCACAAGTTAGGCCCCAACTGTTAACTTATTGACTCAGTAAGGAAATATTTATGGTGTGCCACAGAAGAATGTGCAGACGGAGTCCATTCATACGTGTAATACGCAGCTCTTTCATTTGCAGATAACTATCGGGGGAGGGATAAGGTCTGTAAACGTGAGGTACATCTTAATTTTCTTAAGGTAGGGCTGCTACGAAGTCCATCATCACTTTCATTGAAACAAATCAAAACATTTCCGTTCACAGGAAAGCATGTACGCAATGATTCCTCACATAATGTTCCTCGTGAACAATAATAAATATGAAAATTTAAAACATAAAAGTTCAAGACAGATGTGAATGATAATATGATATATAACGTATTTTGTTTTGGGGCTATTTCAAACGCTTCAAGTATAAAATGATGGCGAAAATGTGCTAAGAAATGACAGTAAATATCAGAAAGATTTCCTCCTCCAGAATAGTTTTCCTATTCTGTCGGCCTGGAATTGAATCGGATACCTTTAAACTTGGCAGGTATAGTTCAATGTCAAAGTTATTACACTCCTTCAGGCGAGCAAAGTTTTTATCTCATCTTGAAACCAAAGATGAGTGGCTATCGACCGTCCTCATGGGGTGTTTTGCTTAACATGGGATCCCAGCCAAACGTAGTTGGCACAAGGCGCCGGCTGTATATTATAACCTCGCAAATAGGTTTGTGTAACTTATCTTGGCTCTTGAAAGTAACGTA